CTGTTTGCACAATTAAATTGAACATTCCAGCCTTCTAAAAAAATGTAAAACTGATGTCCTTCTTCAGGGTTCAGGACCCAAAGTAGATGGTCGAAAATATAGTGTACGTTACATTTTTTTTACTCCTGAGCTTGTTGGAGACAATCTGTATAAATATGAATGGTGGTAGAGTCCTCACCAGACTTAATTATTTTGGGGACAATGTGGATATAGTCTAAGATACTCAGGCGACCGTCAAGACCCATGGACCTCTTGGCTTTTTTTTTTTTTTGGTCCATAGCAAAACCTCAGTCCTACCATTGCAACCCCAAAGAAGGACGACAATTTCTATAATAGATACTAAGGAAACTTTATAGATCTTTTGTTTTCTGAAAAATAAAGATAAAACGAGAAAAACTGCTTTATTCCATTTGTTAAAATCAATCGAAAATAAAACATATTGCGATAAAGCGGTTAGAAATCATGTTCAACATCTTTACAACATTTCATAGGAAGTCTATTAGTATCAAAAAAGAAACAAGCATTCCGAGAGCATTGCATTAGCAATACTAGTCCCCTACCGGCAAGTGTAATCTGTTTCCCATTAAAAATTGAAAATGCCATAATTCCGTCAACAACTGTTGAAGCGGAATGAAATGCAAACTGATCGATAAGTAATCAAGGTTAAGTCACATACCAAAAATCAGCCCAATATCTGCAAGCGTTTAGAAAAAAATCGCGGAAACCCTTAAAAATTGAAAAGGTAGTTATTCCGTCAAAAATCATTGAAACAAAACGAAAAGCACTTGATCTGTAACTCATCAAGATACACTCAAATACCAAAAATCAGCTCAATATCTGCAAGCGTTTAGGAAAACAGTGCGGAAAACCAAGTGGGACAGACAGACAGACGGACGGACAGACTCGGAGGAAACCTATAGTCCCCTCCGGTTTCACCGGTAGTGGAATGATAATGACGCCGCACTATCTCGTAATTACGAGAAAGGATTGTAATCATGAGAAAAAATCTTGTAATTAAAAATGATTCCGTCAATCTGTATCAACGAGATAAGGATCCCATAATTGTGAAAAAAAAGATCTTGTAATTACGAAAAAATAATCTCGGAATTGCTAGAAAATTATCTCATAGGTACGAAATAAGGATCCCGTAATTATGAGAAAAAGTCTCGTAATTACGAGAAAATTATCTCGATAACGGGAAAAGATCTTGTAATAACAAGAATATTATCTCGTTATTACGGGAAAAGATCTTGTAGTTACAGGAAAACTATTACGAGATTTCTGCTCGTAAAATTACGAGATAATTAACTACTAATTACGAAATTCATAATTAGATCTTTTCTCATAATAACGATATTTTTTCCCCTAAATACGAGATAATTTTATCGTAATTACAAAATCTCTCGAAAATGAGATTATTATCGCGATGAATTAGATAGTGGGAACGTGATTTTTTTTTTTTTTTTTTTTTTTTTTTTAATTTTTTTTTTTTTTTAGTTACGAAAGTGATCAATTTTATTTTCATGGTCTTTGTTAAGTAAGGCTCAAAAAAGAATAAAAGTAGCTGAGAATCTAAATTTTTTCCGATTTTTACGAGTTGATGGTATCAACTCATGTTATGTGACTTGTAAGGGATTCCCCAATGTATCGAAACTAATCACTTTTTCATTTGAGTATTTTGCGTTCGGGTTCTTGTATAATATTGGTTTATTTACAGTTTTCATTATCTACAGAACAAGAATATGTTTCCTGATATGCTTTGAAGTGTTTATAAACATAAATATTTATTATCAATTTTATTGGAATTTGTGTCCATCCGCAAAAGAAAATAGTGTTAGGGACATGCGGTCAACAAAAGTGACATATCCTGCAAACAAAATTTTGATTTATATATCAATAAATGTTTTATATAATAAGAAGTATTTTGAAAACAATTTTTTAAAGAAAATTCACAAAATTGAACATTGTACAAACCAGGTTATTTTTAAAAGATTGACGTGCCGGTGGTATATAAATAAACTAATTCTTGCGCTGTTATGCTAGTGAACAGAGCAGGTTTCCCGCGCTAGTGATGAATCGTTCAACACAGAGAACACTGCCTATGATTGTAAACAAAGCGAGAAGTTTGCAGTAAAGGAGGTCACAGTAAACCAACTACTAATCTCAAAGAAATGAGATGTACCAGTAAAACAATTTTTAAATTAAAGTTCTTATTTCTTGTGCAAGCAAAAAAAGATTTCAATTGCTTCAAGGGAAATTTTTTTCAGCAGCGGACAACTTTGTGCTCCAATTTCTTTTTCCCTGTTTAAAACCTTGTCTTCTACAATCTAGATCTGTTTCACAGCAAGCTTTAAATACAGTAATGGTCACTTAACACGTACGCCTGTGATTCTTATCTCATTAATTGTCGGCACAACACTGGAAAGTGTTTTCTTTAATATGTCCAGCTGTGTTTTGCTATCAGATGCTGGCCATGTTATAGAGTGAATTAATAGTACTGAAGGCAATAAATAAAAAGAAAAACAAAACAAAACAAAAAAAAATTAAGTGGGTGTTAATGATCAATTAAATGTGAAATGCATATTTATAGATGTGAAAAGATCAAGAAATCAAATTAATTCAACAGTAGATAGATCATGTAAATAGTCAATATCATGCCATTGTGATAAATTTAAAGTCTTCAGTTGAAAAGCTGAAAGAATTGAAATTTTTTAACGTGCATACTTGTATCAGTGAAAGTCAAGTAGTTGAATTTCAAGAAGGCTAAACCGAGAGAAATGATATATAAAATGTGCATATCAATTAAAGTCAAGTAGTTATATTTCAAGAGTGACTAAACCAAACGAAATGACATATAAAATGACCATTTCGGTTAAATGTAAAGAAGTTCAATTTCAAGAGTATAGCGTAATCAAGAGAATTAAAATATTTATTGTGCATATCAATGATCATAAAAGACAGAGGGTTGAATTTCAATAGTAACTAAATCAAGAAAATTGAATTATGTAATATACATATAAATGAGTGGCTAAATCAAGAGAATTGAAATATCAAATATGCATGTAAATTTTGAAAGACAAGGAGTTGAATTTCAATAGTAACTAAATCAAGAAAATTGAATTATGTAATATACATATTAATGAAAGTAAAAGATATGAATTTTAAGACTGGCTTAATCACGAGAATTGGAACATATTGATGTGCATTAAAAATGTTAAATTGTTTGTCAATTTAAGAAAGCAATAAAAATATTCAATGAGCATGTTGATGAAATAATTCAATTTGCGCTATTTGTAAATAATAATTCCCTACTTGTAATACTATTGTAGGTTTGGCCTATTAGTTTGAGATATGTGTTTAAAACTTTTTCTTGTTTTTTTTTTTTTTTTTTTTTTTTGTTTGTTTTTTTTTTTTTTTTTTTGTCTACTTAGTTGTTTTAATTCTGAAATATGATTTTACAAGAGTTGTGCCATTTGTCTTTATTTGAAATTTCAAGTCACTTGATATATGATATTTCTGTCAAATGATATCGAGTGCCAAAAACTGTTCTCGGTAGTTTTAATGATGATAGTCTGTGCTCTGTGACCATTTCGATGGTGGTATCCTTTAATATTTTGTAAAAATACAAATTATTTAAATGCAAGCTACATTGTCATTTTACGGAAAATCCAAAAACTAACTTAGTATTATTTGTTTTGTATGTTTAAAGGTTCGATTTGTGATAAATTATTATACATTCCAGTAGATATTAAAAAAAATATATACATGTTAAAAATTAGGGATGGCAATCGATTACAGAATTGCTAACCGGTTAACCGCAAGACGTTCCGACCGATTAACCGGTTAATCGTATCAAAATTCACGTTTTCTTGACAATTGCTTTTCAAGTATAGCTCTGTCCATATACACAAATAGACCCAAATAAGACGATAGAAGTTAAAACATTCCATAAGTCTTGATTCTGGATCAGAAAAATACGGTACATATTTTTTATTTCAATTTCAGTCGACAATAAAAATTGAGAAAACCATGAAAAAAAAAACCTAAAAAATCTTTGATAATTTTCCAGAGCAGATGTCATAAAAGTTCTTTCTGCATTTTTACTATGATAACCAAAACTACATGTGAACTCTATATAGCCCTTAATTTACAATGTTTGTTTAAAAATTACAAGTAAATTGGATGGAAAACTGAAAACGACAAACACACCAATTCACACTGCTCAATGATTCAATTATTGTCATTAAAGAATTACAGGACAGTCGGGGTAACGACATAGTGTTTTCACAGTACTTAATTAACACTACGTAAACTGACCAATTACTCAACGGTCTCAATCTGGAGATTCATAATTACATGTACGTCCAAATTATATCCTTTAAATCCTAAATGATCATCCTTTGTGCAGAGATTTCTTTTATTAAAATAAATTTTTTAAAAATGTGTTCAATTTAACAAATATTTTATTTTTTCCGATTAACCGATTACAGATTTTCTAATCGATTGCCATCGTTCCGACCGAGTAATCGGTTAACCGGTTACAAATTGCAATCCCTATTAAAAATACATGATGGAAAAGATATAAATAAAATGATATAATTTTATTTCTCAAAGAAAACAACGCTTCGTGATCGGGAGGTCGTGAGTTCGAATCTCGGCCGCGACTGACCTAAGTTGATAAAAAATGCGTAGCAACTGTTCCTTCGCCATGCGCTCGGCACTTTGAAGTGAAAGTTGTAGTCC